GTAGTGGTAGTGGTAGTAGTAGTAGAGTTCCCGTTTAGAGTCCCTAGAGTTGGGAACGGGCGTTTGAAGACCGGGGTGTGATCTGAAGCCACTGAGGCGGTCAATCCACTTCCTGATCACTCGCCTCAAGGCAACTGGGAGCTCTTACTATCCGCATCTCTCCAACTTCTTTGTTCTGTACGAGAACCATTACTCAATCATACGGTTTGGCACCAGCAGGATACCGAGAATGTTTCGGGTGGCGTTAGAGGTCCATACTTCTTGTTCTCGTTGGCATTGAGCGTATTGCGGTTCGGGATTTACAGTATTCCCGGTATTCAATCCTAAACCATAGACTCGTCGAAATCGCTACCGGCTGAATGTTGAGGGTTCGTTTAGGGTTCGGAAGTAAAAACCTACACCCTAAACCCAGATGCGTACCGAGATGCGTTTCCTTCAGAAGTTGTTCAATTCTGTGGCTCCGGCCATCCAGCCGCGGCTTCCCGCAGTTGCCACGGCTCAAGCCGCTCCGGGACTGGCGCAAACAAAATGCTGTTCTGCCGAGCATCGCTGCTCTTGGGGTTTCTGGGACTCTCTTGGGCGATGTTTGTTTAAGACGGGGCACGGGAACCTGTTACTTTGGGCCCCTGGCTAGTGACCCTCAATAGCGTTTTATGCAAGAAACCCCGGTTTTAGATAGGAGATCTTGAGATGAGGGCTTCTGAGAACATTCAAAGTAGGCATGAAAGTTGGGAAGTGCGCACTTGAACGCTGACTACTGTCGCGAATCTAAACGGTAGAACCACACCGATTCCAGGACCTAGCAATGGCAAAGTTAAGCCCAGGTTATTTAATATGTTCTTCTGATCGTGTGAGCATTAGCATGATTATCTTGAGGCCACAAACCTCGAGACATTGAGCCCAAGGTTTCCAAGTCCATGTTTGACACAAGCCAAAGACTTGAAGGCAGACCCACATCGAACAACTCAGGATGCAAAACCTTAAACCTTCGCCTTAAGACTCTGAATCACCCTTGTTCCTGAATGACCAAACCCGAATCTTGAGCCGGCCACGACAAAAATCCTGTCTGCGCTGACTGGGTGAAGCCCTGTCACCCCGAGTCCAGCGCACGTCCTAAAGCTCGCTCCTGACCTGAACTTAAAACATGCAAAGCATAGCAGGCATAGCATATAAAACTCCGAAGTCACTAAACCCTGATGTCGGAGAGACATGACCCGAAAGCCGAAAATCCTGAAGTTCCCCCGAAATGTGCACGAACATCTCTTTACAATGTCAAATCCTACACCATCCGAAACCAAGCAGGAATGTCCCCAAGCGTGATCTAGAAGCTTACCTGAAGACCCCCAAAAACCTTTCGAACGGCTGTCCGAACTTTTCGGGTTTAGGGTTTAGCAGTCTTCAGAGCTATACCCCTGCATAGAAATCCGATACCTACAGCAAAAATAGACCTGAGGTTGCTTCTCCGGGCTGGCGCAGGGCAGCCAGCTACCGTCCCACTGGGCGACCTCGCGGAGATCCAGGTAAGCCGGGGCTTTCATTTAGAAGGGTACTTCTCCAATTGGGTCACCCCTTTAGGGTCTTTTTTGTAAGGGTGCTGTACTATTTGCGGTGCCGAAAAAATGAAAAGGGACCCTGATTTCGAGGTCGCATGAATTTCCCATATTCGCAGGGCTTCTTATCACAAGTAAACTGAAATAGACTTCCAAACCGTCTTCTAATGAAGGTTGTACATGGGTTCCATGAAGGCAGTGTCGGCTGCATAGACGTGCTACCCCTTGGCACTCGAAACCCTGAACCCCCCTAAACCCTTGCAGACTGTAAGGTTACTACATAGTATATATATATATATATGAGCCCGATACCTTTAGGGTCTACTAAAGGGGCCTCTCTCATATGTATATATATATATATATGGTGAGAGCCGGAAAGTTGGAAGACGCACATCCACATTTCCAGCACCCTAAACACATGAACGACGGATCTTCCAACTTCGGAAATTCTTTGAATTATTTTGCCATCCTCCAATTCTGTAATCCCAAACTAGCTTGCCAAGTAGAGACCCGCCAATTTACGAGTGCTCCCGGGAAAAGATTTTGAAAATCTGATGGGACAGGAAGCATACCTTGCTTTCTGGCCATCCCTTTCAAAGGTGTGGGTATGGATCCACGGGGGGGGGAGAGGCCCACAAACAATCAATGTTAGAAGATCAAGGGCGTCTGTGATCTGGCCGTGCGTTTTGGGAAGCTTTCTTTGCAAATGCACAGAGTTGGAAGATCCGATTCCGGACCAACCCTTCCATTTCCCAGTTTCCAACTTTCGGCACTCACTGTAGACTGTAACATATAGTAGATGATACCCAAAATATACTATATGACATACAGTATATAGTTCACAACATATAGGAAACACGATACATAATAGATTGTTGGTTTGGGGTTTTAGGTCGTTCGGGCAAGGAATTCAGGGCTTAGTGCATTGCAGTCCCTGCTCAAAAAAGGTCGTTCGGGCGTTTGCAGGTTCAAGGCTGTCGGAAGGTTTCTGTAGCAGAAGTAGCAAGGACGAGTGGGTTTTTTGGGTCTGGGGCCTTTGTGGCCATGAGTCCACAATACTCTTAGGGCTTCAGGGCTATAAATTTCGAGTTTTGTGTGTGCGTGTGTGTGTTTTAGAGGGGCGGGCTGCTAATCTTCCTTCTGCGGATCCTTAGCAAGAGGCCTGAGCAATATGCTTCCTGGCATCCGACAAGCCCAGTTTCCAAAAAAAAGCTTTTGGAGGTGTGCGCCACCAACATCATCCGAATCACTCGCTGGCCCAACCACGCGGCCAAATCCAGAGGCCAGAAGTGCGCAAGGGTTGTTCATGCCCACGATAAGGCTCTTACATAGTGGTGTTTGTTCCCGTATCAGTGACTTGTACAGCCAAGTCCGTCGGTATTCAGGTCGCAAACTCGCTGTCCCACGATGCCGCGATGCAATATCCCCAAAGCTAGATCGCCCGGCTGTCAATCTTATAGGAGGTGGTGCGCAGCCCAATAGAGGGGCCTGAAGAGTTTGAAGCGAACGTCAGGTTACTATCTACTGAGGCTTCAATGTTCAGCCGAAGCCATCAGGAACGAACAAAAACTAGTTGCTGCTACCTGCTACCTCAGCTTCAGAAGATCCATGCAGCAAATCTCTTTCTCCCGGACCCCTAAACTGGGCTCTTGCTGAGGACCCCGGTACTTTCCCCTTGCATGTGTCTAGTAAGAGTCTAGTACTTATCCTGCTTTCCTCATCACCACCACCACCACTGCTCCTGCTGCCGCCCCTACTGCTCCTTCTGCCACTACCGCTACTACTACTACTACTCCTGCTGCTGCTGCTACTACTACTACCACTACTACTACTACTACTACTACTACTACTACTACTACCACTACTACTACCACTACTACCACCACTAC